ATAACTGGAACAATATGACTTTGTTATTAAACAAGAGGTCTGTATTGTTACTAAACAAGAGGTTATTAAACACAGTATGTATATGATTTATTGTTTGCTGGCAAAAATTACTGAACTCTTGGGTCTAGAAACCAATAATTCCATGACATCTGATACATTTCAATCAACTAGTTTATAAATTATATTAACTGAGTAAGAGTAGGACCCATTCTGGCAGTGTGGACCATCTAAAAGTGAAAACAATTCCACTGTATACAACTCAAAAGGATGGACAATGACAGTAACATTCTTTAAATGTGTGATTTAGTGTGTGAGATTTGCAGGTGTAGCTCTCTATAGGGAATTAATTAGAATTAAAGTTTGTTAGTTGAAGCTATAGCTGCCCTGTGGATTTAATTTTGATTACCCAGGATGTTAAAGACTAAGGGAGAGTTCGCACTAAAATAGTTCATAAAGTCAAAAATTTCAGAAATCTACATGTAGGGTAAGGACAAACTAGAGCAAAGTGTTCACTGGCATAGGAATCTTATCTGTCCTTCCTTGGACTTGAATTTTCCTTCTTCCTATTCCAGATGAAAAATCAAACAACTAGCACAGAAAATTGTCCTGGCCTTAGAAACAACTTATAGGAGCAAACACAAAATATTTGGGCAGGAAGATACCAGCAACTCACATTTGAGCTAAACTACTCCATGGTATTGCTATAACTTCTGCGTCCACTTTGTTTGGCCAAGTGGCCTGTGGGAACCTTAAATTGACACCAGCTCCTCACACAAATGCAAGTCTAGACAGCAACTGCAGGGTCATAGCAAACAGAAGTTCCTGATCAGCCATCCCCCTTGCCTCTCAGCGCTTGTAGGTCTGATGTGCCCTTATCTGAGGAGCTCACCAAATAGCCACTCTGAGGTTTGAATTGACTACCCTGGCCCTAACCTGGGCCCCCCAAGCACTCCATCCAGGTGTGGGCTGCACGCTGCCTCGACCCCTCTCATGCTCCAGTGGTGTTCTTCCTTCAAGACCTTTGTATAACTTCTTTATTTTATTTATTTTTTTAAATATTTATTTTATCCATACAGAACTGGGGTACAGGCCAGAGATGTGGAGGGTGAGAGGCTTCACCATAGAGTGGGGAGCAGAACAGGCAGATCAACGAAGTACACTGCTGAGGGGAGCAGCGGGCAAGTCAGGAGAGGTCTGCCGCGCCATGTGGTCACCTCCAGGGCAGGCAGGGATCGAACTCATGCGGAAGTGGCTTTAGCTTCTTAATGCTGTGCTTTAACCTGCTGCACCACCAGAGAGGGCCATAACTTCTTTATTTTAATTCACTGTGGCCCGTTGTGGAAGGAGCTTGCCATTCAGCTCCCTCTGCCCCGCTAAACAAGGGTTAATGTAACAAAGTCCTAACAGCTGGCATCACAGACTGACCAAGGATGGTGCCTTTGAGCTGTGAATGGCTAACAGTTCCCCCAGGTGGAGACTCCTTTTAGGGGCTCACCATTGCTTTGCATCTATACTGAAGCATTTCCTGCCCCAAAGTACAGGCTCCAATGGAGAACTGGAGGCCTCCAGAACCTTGAGCTTTGTTCATCTGAACTGGTTTGAGGTGCTGTGTTTTCTCCTGCTTTAATGTAGAGGGTGGACTTCTGTTGTGGTGTTACACTTGGGGAGGGGGTGTGTCCTCACTCCAAGCAGGAGTAAGAGATTTGGGTAATATTTTCCCAAAGTCCTGTGGGCTATTAGTTAATAGCAGGGACACCCAAGAGGCAACCCTACTTGAGTGTAGGCTACCTGATAAAGATGCCCGGGTACCTTTAGGAGACAGAGAGGCGCCTCTCCCCTGACTGCTGTGCTCGCAGGCCTGGAACCCCAAGTCCTAACCAGTTAGACAGGGGCACCCTAGCTTAGTTCCTCTGCTGCTACACACCCTGCTGCTCTCACACTTTGTCCCTACCCCATGGGCTATAATTTCAGGTTCACCGCTGGCATGTGACGGCACATGATCTAACAGCTCCTGGAAAGGGCCTGAGCAACTGGTGCCAGGACCACCGATAAAGGGGAAGAAGTGTGAAAGCTCCTCACTGAATGTAACGGCCCTGGAAGCAGCCTGGGGTCTGCTCTGAGCGCAGTGTGCCCACCTGCCAGGGCACTGGTTCTGTGATGGGGGTCCAGGGCCAGCCCCGGTGATCCTGCCCCGGCTGTGCCTGGCAGAGGCGGGGGCCACCCTGATCCTGGTAAGGCTGACTGGGACAGCCTGGGGAGGAAGTGTTGCCTTACAAGTCCAGCTGCAAATGCCAGGTGCACCCAGCAAGATCTTTCCAGTCACAGTCCGTAATCAAGCAGGCATGATAAAGAGGGAGAAACAGGTTCAAAACTGTGTGGTATATTGTAAAGTTGCTGAGAGAGTAGGTCTTAAAAGTTCTTATCGTGGAAAAAGAATTGTAACTATGAGGTGATGGGTGTTATCTCAGCTTTTGCGGTGACTACCTCTCAATGTGTCCAGATATCCGATCGTTGTGTCAATTTTAACTCAATAAACAAAAAGAAATGGCAACTCACAACCTCAGTGTCTCTAGATTCAAAATGTTTTAAAACTTTGAATGTACAGCGGGAGGAAGAAAGGGAGGGAGGTCAGTGGGCAGTGAGAAAGTCTGACTTACCTCCCAGAGATTCCTAGCCAGTATTTCCAAGAGACCCCAAATGTCTCACTTTTTTTCTAGAACTGAGGAAGCAGGGCCACTGTCAGTGGTCATGCCAGACCTTTGTCCCACCTTAGACAAAGAAGTAACTGATCTTGTGCTCCAAAGTAGCCACACCTGCCTCTGGTCAGTGCTGCACCATCCATTGAAAGCTGGTCAGAGGCAAATGGTCTCTTTGATGTGGCTATTAGTCTCATGGTGTAGCGCCTCAATAACAAAGGCACTGGGAGACCCCTTGGTCCTGGGAGAGGTGCTAGAACAAAGTCCTTTCTGCCAAAGGGGCCAAGCCTGGGTGCTGGCAAGACCTGTGGAGAATAGCCGCCCATCAGTCTCTCCAGAAAAGCAAGAAATTATTCATACCTGTAAGATTTGGGGAGCAGGTATGGGGAGGTGTCCAGTGTTTCTAGCAAGAATTTCCTATGTCCTCAGGTTCCCAGCCTCAGAGGAGGCAGAGGTAAGTAAGCATGGCGGTGGCACACGGATGGATGGACAGAGACGGTCTCTCAGGGACTGTTGAGTTTCTTGATGATTCCATTCCTGCTGCTCCATCCTGCCTGCTCAGGGAGAATTCTCCTCCAGTTCCAAGCCAGCTTTCATAGCTATACAATCTCTCTGGGCAGGAGGTGGGAGGGGCAGAATCCAAGTGCACTGATGCTGCCTCAGGCTGGCTTTGAGGTACAAGCAGGTCTATCAAGTTTGGGGAGTACAGTTACTATGCCAAGTTGTAAGTTTGTTGCTTCAAGTCATCTTAGCTAGTCAGTCAGATCTGAGGATGGCTAGGTGGGGGTTCTCACGGCCCACTCTGACACTCTTAGAAAACACCCCAGAAAATTCGTTTTGTAAGGTTTTTACACTTGGTAGGACTCAAGCTATAGCCAAAACCTCTGTCCTATTTCTTGGTCAGATATTAAGAGCTGCCAAGTTTGTGGGTCTTGGGTCTTAAAAGAATAGGGTCTGAGATTGGCTTTAAAGAGTTCACAATGTAACTGTGTGTGTAGGGGAGGGGTTACATGAGGGGGATGTGAAGCAGACACTAAAATTGTATTTTAGAGCAACAATAGTTATGACTGAAAGGAGGAAGGGAAAGGTCCTAGTCCATTCAGGTTGCTAGAACAGAATACCACACATTGGGCAGCTTATACATAACAGAAATTTATTTCTCACAGTTTTGGAGACTGAAAGTCCAAGGTCAAGATGTCAGCAGATTTGGTATCCAGTGATTGGCTTCCTGGTTCACATATGGTCATCTTCTTGCTTTGTCCTCTCACAGTGGAAGAAGAAGCTCTCGGTCCCTTTTATAAAGGCACTAAACCAATTCACGAGGGCTCCACCCTTCTTATACTATCATTGTGGTATATGTGCATGAGGGACACCCACAAACATTTAAGCTATAGCAGGTAAGTTTTGGGGGACTGATCACTGAATATTATAAGGCATTTTCACATGGGAAAAGAGAGGTACTGTTCCTGGGGCTTAAAGTAGTATAAGCAAATGTGTGACTATTATGAGGACTCATCTTTCTTCACAAATTAGCTGTAGTTAATTTTATATACAGCAAAGTACACAAAACTTAAGTATGCATCTTGTTGAAGTTTTACACACACACACACACACATATACCCATATATAATCATGACCCAAACAAAAATATAGAAACTTTTCAGTGCCTGAGCAATCTCTCTGTACTCTCCATCAATCCATCAATCCACGGTGACCATATTATCAACTACTTTAGGTTAGTCACTGACTTGTATTTAAATGAAACTATATAGCATGCATTCTTTGCATCTTGCTTCTTATGTCTATGTTATCCTTATTTTTCATCAGTAGCAAGACATTCTTTTTCACAACTGTGTAGTATTCCGTTGCTGATGTGCCACAAGTTGGATCTCTTCTGCGTTCATGAACATTGTATTGTTTTCAGTTTTTGTCTATTATAAATAACATGGCCATAAACTTCTTACATTCCATTAGTCCTCCTTTCTTTCAAAGATACTGTGTGGCTAGAGTATAGAGTAGTAATTCTCCCCTAGGGGACATTTGGCAGTGTCATATGACATTTCTGATTTTTAAAAGTTGGTGGGGGGGGTGTACTACTTGTATCAAATGGGTAGAGGGACAAGGGATGATGCTAAACCTCCTACAATGGACACAATTCCTCCTACCCCATCAGAAGCCAAAGAATTAGGCTGGAGTCCAGTTTTGGAGGCCTTTGTATGCCACACTCAGCTTTCTGTCCATGATGACTGGTGAGATTTCCATCAGTGGTAGACACTGAAGAATGAACACTACCTGCCTCCAGCACTAGGTGACGTCAGCTTCGTCCAAGGTCCCTGGTGTCCTGTGGCTGAGTACCCGCAGCAGTGCACCCTGCATGTCCCGGTTCCTCAGCGTGTAGATGGCGGGGTAGAGCAGCGGTGTGAGATTGATGTAGATGAGCGATACCAGTTTGTCCTCCTCCAGTGAGCGGCTGCTCAAGGGTCTGGAGTACATGGCTGTGGCACAGCCATAGTGGAGCACAGCCACGGTGAGGTGTGACGCCACGGTATTGAAAGCCTTCCGGCGGCCTTCAGCCCCACCCACCCCCAGGATGACCACCAGCACCCTGGTATAGGAGAGCAAGATCAGGACCAGAGGCAGCACCAGCAGCAGCAGGCAAGCTGCTAACAGGACGTGTTCCTGCAAGTCCCGGTTCCCACAAGCCAACAGCAGCACCGCGGGAAGGTCACAGAAGACATGGTTGACTAAGCCCCCATGGCAGAAGGGCAACTGGAAGATGACTGTGGTGAGGCCGATGGCCAGGACAGAGCCCCCAAAGCAGCAGGAAGCAAGGAGGCGCCAGCAGAGCCCAGGGGTCATGAGCTGAGGGTAGTAGAGGGGGCGGCAGATGGCCAGGTAGCGGTCCAGGGCCATTGCCGCCAGCAGCAGGCACTCAGAGCCCCCCAGGGCCACAAAAAGGCCCATCTGGGCTGCACAGGTGGCTGGGGCCACTGCCTGGCCACCACGAGATAGGAGGAAGCCAGCAAGCATGCGTGGAGTCAGCACCAAGGTGTAGGCAACCTCCACGGCAGACAGCGCCCCCAGAAAGAAGTACATGGGGGTACGCAGGGCTGGATCTGTGATAGCCAGGCCCAGGATGAGCAGATTTCCTGCCAGTGTGGCCAGATAGAGTGGCAGGAGGAGGGCAAACAGCAGCACCTGTAGCTCCTGGGGCCACCCAGAAAAACCCAGGATCACAAATTCCAGTGGGGTTGTCCAGTTTGACTCAGGCCAGTGACTCATGGTGGGACCTGGGAGTGGACAGGCAGGCATGGTGGAGAAGAGCACCCATGATCCAGCCCTCCAAGAAAAGACCTGTCCCTTGCCTCTTCTAGGCTGGACCTCTATGCCCAGCCTTGTATGCCCGACAAAGATCCCCTTGCTCCCCATGACTACCCCCCCCTCCTCCAGGGACTCAGGGTCCTCTTCCCACTTCAGTCCTTTCCACCCCTCATTTTCTCATGTCTAGGGCCCTCCAGGAATTCAGAGGTCTAGAGTCACTACCCCCTCTTGCCCTGGCGTCCCAGGCCGTGAATTCCCTGGCACCTGGGTGTCTTCTGCACCCCTAACCACCCACGCCAGTTCCACCCATACCTCCAGAGCCAGACATCCTGTGTTCCTGCCCACAGCACTGAGGCTGAGGGGCTGAGCTCCTGCACAGCGAACCCACAGAAGGAATTTCCACCAGGCTGCCTCTTTACCAAACGAGCTGGTTCTTGGTGATGAGATGGTCACACCTGCAGGCAAAGCCGGTTGGCTTAAAGGGCTCGGGCATCCTTATCTGAGGCATGCCTGACTCCCCCTGCACTCGCCTCTTGAGGCCACGCCCGCAGCTCGCTGATAGGCCAGGTGTTCCTCTCCTTGCCTGCCCTGGTGTTTTGCTTTGCTTTATTGATATTTTCCATTTCTTCCTCTTACTGGCTGCACGGCTGACGCTCCCTGAACACCGGGTGAGCAGAGTCAGAGCAGCAGCTACTGCTATTGCACCTGCAGCTACTTGTTGGCTTTTGTGACCTGCAGGTGTGTTCTAAGCTTTCCATAGACACAGGTGGAATTAGTCATTGCAAAGGTGCTGTGAAGCAGTAGGTGTTACTGTTACGAATGATTTTGGGCTTGGAAGTTGAGACCTAGGGGTTGACCCACTGAAGGGTCGCCCATGTCTCCCTTAGCTGGGCTTTGTGTCTGAGTCTGACTGACTTCAAAGTTTGTGTGTTTAAGAAATAGGAATCCACTCTTCCCTATACCCCTCTTATCTGCCTGTTTCTTCCCACTCAAATGAGGAAGTGGAAGGTGACTAAAGGGAAGAAGGAAGCAGACTTAGGGGGAAGAGGGGCAGAAATAGGGAGTGTATGCCTGCCAAAGCCAGGACGAGGTCCACAGTGAGAGCTTTCCCCAGCTCAGTGGTTCAGGGGCATCTGCGAGGCGGGGTGTAAGGGGTGAAGGGGAGGGAGAGAAAGTCAGAGATGACAAAGAGAGGTGGGGGGAAGGGAAGAAACACAGAGTGGGGAGACAGAGAGAAAGAGGAAGAGATAGAGGGAGAAAGACACAGAGAAAGAGAGAGACAGAGTGATCAACAGGGAAACAGAGAAAGGCATACACAAAGAAAGAGAAAGTGAAAATGACAGGGAAAGAAATACAGAGGCAGAAAGACAGGAGACACAGTGAAAAACAGAAGGAAAGAACAATAGAGAAATAGGCAGAGGGAGAAGACAGACGGGAGAGACAGAAAGAGAAAGGGACCCTGTGCTCCTGCCTCCCAGAATTCCCCCACCTCAAGCATGGTTTCCGTCGTGAAGCCTAGCAGGACTTCATTCAGTCCCGGGCACCCGCACCCCAGGGGGCATCATCATGCCAAGGCATGCCTGTGGGAAGAGCAGAGTGTGTAACATTCATCAGAGGAGAGTTCAGACACAGGGCCACCAGACCCCGAATTCTAGCCAGATTAAATCCTCGGGTCCCCAGTTGGCCAGGCCAGTCTCTCCACCCATCTATGGTGGGCATAGTTGTCCTGGAAGTGGCCAGGGGATCGGGCCCACCCTGACCAGGTGACTGGAGTACTGGCTGGAAGAAGCCCAAGTTCCAGTCTTCACCCTCCGTACCCACCAGCATGGTCTCACGCTCCACCATCGCCTGCTCCTCAGACAGACATGCACGGTCACATCAGAATGTGTTGTTCCCCCCTGGAAGCGCCCTCATTCTTCTGGGCCAAACACTGTTCCAAACATCAGTAGCAGAGGCTCACAGGAGCATCTTGTAGAAAATGGAGGGCAGGTGAACTAGACCATCTCTTTCTCCCTGATCTTCCAACTTCTGTTCCCGCAACTCAGTAACAGACGAGTTACTTAATAGGTTTCCCAGGACCCACTTAAGGGCCTGGCTTGATGTAAAGCCCCAGGGCCTCATTAGCGATCTTCTCTCCCTCCCCTTAGAACCTAAGGAGCATGATGGTCTCAGAAGACTGGGGGGTTGGAGAGATGATGGGGAGATGACTTGGAAAATCAGAAATGGTATATCCCAGGGGACTCTGAAAGTTTTGAGCCAAGTCACAGCTGGGGATAAACTTAAACCTGAGGGAATAATAGCCCAAAGCTATAGGTAGCCAGGTCCCTGAGGGAGAAAAAGAAAATTACTTCTCTCCCCAAAGTTTATAGCAAGGGGATGCCAGGAAGCAGATGATCTCAGACTGGACTGACCACTGTAGTTGATGGGGATAGAAGCCAACATCATCTTCACTGTCATCACCACCATCGTCACACCACTGGGAAGTACCCAAAAGTGCTAAAGAACAAAACCTAACAACATCTGTGTTGCAGAATCCTGTGTTTTGTATCCTGACATTCCCATTTAATGTTGAATTATACAGTCTTATGTTGCTTTTTTAAAAACTGCTTATTTTTAATTTATTTTTTGAAATGTAGAATACCTACTTCAAAATTCACAGGGTATAAAATATAGTCATGCCCAAGAAACAGCCTCCAAATTAATCCAGAGGCAACAACTTTTACCAGGTTTGTTTTTCTCCTTACAGAGATATTCTAGGTGTACACAACATGTTTTGCCCATGTACATTATTTTAAATTTACAAAATATTAACAATATTCTCAATAAATCACGTATATGTCCTTTTCACTTAGCAGTTATCTTGGGAATCACTTTAGATCTTTTCCGTTTATTGAACAAACCCTTCCATCCTGTTCGCCAGCTGCTGCTCCTCTACAGCGATACAAAAATATCCAACCATTCAGTTGTCACTGTGAGGCCAGTGTGGATCCTGTGAGCAGGACTAAGGCATAAAGGCAAGGCGGGACTTGGTCATGATCACACTCCACTGAGGACACGGCGGCTCTGGACTTCCGTTGCAATGTTCCTTGGGCACGTAGGTTGTTCTCGTAACTTGCTATTGCAAGTAGTGCTGCGATGAGCATAGGAGACAAACTGCTCTTCAAATTAGTATATTCGCATTCTTCAGGGAAACCTAGGAGTGGAATTGCTAGATTGTATGGTAGATGTATTTTTAGTATTTTTCATATTTCCTCGCCCCACCTTCACCAGTGCTTGTTGTTCCTGGCCTTCGGGATGTGGGCTGCTCTCCAAAGTGTGACAGCTCTCTGGTTATGGCTGTAATTTCGCTGGTGGTAAGCAATGGTGAGCGCTTTTTTTCATGTGGTCATCTGAATGTCTTCTTTGGAGACTTATCTATTCAGCTCTCCTGCCCATTTTCTGATCCTTTTCTTTTTGTTGAGTTGTGCGAGTCACAGATCTTGGATATGAGCCCTTTGATGTAAGATGCGCAAATATTTTCTTCCCCTTGTAGGGTATCTTTTGTTTAAATGACAGTTTATTTTGCTGTGGGGAAGTTTTTCAGTCTGATGTAGCCCCATTTACTTTGGCTTTTGTCTCCTTTCCCACTGTCATTTGTAAAACCCTAGACTGATTTCTAACCAAGTGAAAATCATTAAATAAAACAGTCTGGAAACAGTGAATCTTGTTTGCACTTTTTTTTTTTCAGGGTTAGCAATATCTAAAAAAGCTGAATTAGTGAGCTGTGGAATGAAATCAAGCAACCTAATACATTTGTAATTAGAATCTGAAAAGTGAAAGAGAGGTAGGGAATGTATTTGAAGAAATGAAGAAAAATTATAGATTCAAACTCAGTAAAATCCAAGCACAGAAATGGGGAAGGAGGGAATGAAATAACTTAAAATCAGGAACAAAAAGAAAATAATGACTCTAAATAAAAAGACTATAGGCAGAGAAGTAAATATAGAAGTGACAATTTCTTATCAAAAACAGTGTAAATCTGAAGATAGTAGGCAGCATCTTTAAATTAGAAAAAGAAAAATCTGTTTCCTGTGAAAGTATCTTTCAAGAAAGAAGACAAAATTAAAACATTTTTTATCTACAAAAAGCTGAAGGAGGCCCCTCGATGGTGGTGCAAGAGGTTAAAGCACAGCACTATGAAGCTCTCCGCAGCCACTGCAGCATGGGTTCCATCTCCAGCCAGGGGTGAACCCTTGTGGCACGGCAGACCTCTCCTGTCTTACCCGCTACTTCCCTCAGCAGTGTATTTCAGTAGATCTGCCTGTTTTGCTCCCCACTCTGTCTCTGGTGGATCCTCTTACCCCCCACACCTCAGGCCTGTATCACAGTTCTTGTACGCATAAAGAAATAAATCTTTTCTAAAAAACTGAAAGAATTACCAACAATGATTCATCTAAGATATGGTAAGTGGATATTGGCAAAAAAAATCCTATGAAGTAGAAAAAGTCTTAGCTTGACAAATACATCAAGCTTGTGAAAATAGGTGGTGTTTAAGAGGGGTCTTCCTCCAGACAGCACAGGACGGACTCACTACTGGCATGATGCAAAACGTTTGGGAACTAAATGCCAGCTCTCCTCGGGTAGGTTTTGTGCAACCGCAGAAATAGCCCATGTGGCCCTCTGGAGCTCATAAAAGGGATTAATTAGGTAAAGGTAAAGAAAGCATTTTCATTAGCCACCTCAATAGGAAACAGTGCAGTAAGTGTAAGAAAGAACTTTATTTCCAACTGGAGCTGGGGTGGGGTCTGGTAAGCATATACATTTGACCCCTGCCAAGGCACAGATGCTATGCCCCAGCCCCTGTAGCTGCTGCTGAGTTTGTAAAGGAATAAGAAGTGAGTCTTGGGGGTGGGCTGTTTGAGCCGAGGGGTCCCTCCTCGCAAGCCCCTTGAAGAGCCTGCCATAGATGGCCTGTGTTCATC